GCAGCAGCATGAGGGTGGGGGGCCCGCAGCCCAGCACGGCCAGCCAGCGCCACTCCAGGGCCCAGCCTGGGGATGGGCAGAGGTCAGAGCCACGCAGCGCCTCCCCCCACCCCCCGCCAGCTCAGGGACTCAGCTCCAAAGGTGGGCCCTCACTGCCGCTGCACGCCGCCTTTGTGTGTTACTGACGCTGTCGTGACTACGGCTGTTCAGAAACGTAGATGGCGTGGGTCGGCTAGGCCAGTTGTAGAAATGACAGCGGGGACATCTGTATATGCCCCCTCTATCTTTTCAGTGACATAGTCACGTAGCCTGAAGCGAAGTATGAGCTGCTAGCTGAGGACCTGCTCTGTCTGCACACCCCTCCAAACTTGTGATAAATTTGGTGGTGATGGAATTAAGAGGGTAAAAGCTTAACCCAACCATGGGATTCAGAGTTGTGCCCTTGGGCCAGCAGGTGGCCTGGGGTTCAGGCAGGATTCCACATGGCCAGCACCACAGTGTGAGTCCTGGACCCCGCGGCTTGAAAAACATGCCAGGCACGTGCTTGTGTGTACCCAAAATCCCGAGACGGGAGTGCAGGAGAAGGGACTGCAGTGTGGTCACCTCCCCGGTGGGTGAGGCTCACTTGGTTTTTCTCTGTCTCTCAGGAGAGTGCACGTGTCCTATATCAAAATCAATGAAAAAAGAACAACAAAGAAAGGGAGACATAAGTCATTAAAAAAGGGACCTTGGTGGGTGATTGGGATTAAAGTTATTGGGTGACTGAGTCCTGCCAGGCTTATAGGAGAGGGGACGAGGCAGGGACACACAGACATGCTTGGTGTTGCCGTGTTGCCCCGCGCTGCCCCAGGCCTCTGCACAATGCCCCCCAGCAAGGAGATCCTCACTGGACGTAGCTAAGCTCCTGGCCCTCCAAAACTGTGAGCTGCGTTAAATAAGCCTCTGTTCTTCATAGTCTCCCCAACCCGGGGATTCGGTCACTGAGCAACAGAGATGGACCGAAGCAGCGTCACGTGATGTGACAGGGTTGGGTGAGTAGAGGTGCAGGCCAAGAGACAGACAAGACTGGCTCCTCCAGAAGGGGGCAGAGGTCCGGGAGACTTCCAGCGGACACGCGCCCCCTCTGCTACCGCCCGAGAGCCGAATCAGCTGTGTGTGCTCTACTCAAAATGGAAGAAGTGAGCGGTGGCGGGATGGTGCTCGCTGGACGGTGTATGGAGACAGAGTAAGTCCAGCATTGCCGAGACTTCTACACAGCCAGAGGGTTCTCTGGCAAAGGGGCCCGGGAAGAAAGGAAGTTAGGGTACTGCCTCTCTCCTCTTTTGTTTTTCCGAAGCCCACAGGCTTCCTAGCCCCAGTTCCCAGGGGCAGCATCCCTCTGATAGCCACGAAGTACCCATTTTGCTTCTGTGCCGGGGGAAGGACAGAGCGCAGGAACACCCTTACATATCTGCTTTAGCACTAGTTGCAGCTAAACTGTCATTGTTCTGTGTCTGGTTATTGGAGCAGTATTGCCCCAGTGGGAAGAAGTGTCACCACCTTGTCACTTGTGGGTTTGACAGAATTAGCCCACACCAGCGGCTCAGGACTCCCGGAAAGTGATCAGCGAAAGGCAGGAGAAGCGTTAAGTGCAGATGGAGGTGAACTGGAGGTGATGAACAGGCAGGCTGGCACCCGGGTATCTGTCCCCTAAAGCATGAATGTCAGTGTCTGCATGGGGGTGGGAGGGCATTGGCTCACTGCAGGGGCTGAGTTAATAAGTGGGTGAGAACAAAAGCCCAAGGAGCTTATGTCCTCCGTTCTCAGAAGTCCGGAGGGCACGTGCCCCGGGCCAGGCCAAGGCGGTTAAGGCCCTGATGCCCTACTCCAACCCCTCCATGGTTCTCAAGCCACCCCCTGACAATTCTCACTTAGGGCCTGCTGTCAGGCCTTTTTATTGTGTAGCTTAATGTAAACCCCCGACAGCCTTGGATTCAGTGCGGTTATCTCCGTTTAAAGATAAGGGAACTGAGGCTCCCAGGGCCACGGTCACACAGCAAGACACAGAGGCCATCCCCAAACCCAGGGCTGTCAGAATCTATTCTTTCTACCCATCTGCAGGTAACGTGCTTGCCTCTGGAAGCTGTCCCTGGCTCTGCCTACTAGGTCCCTGGGAATTGGCTTCCTTCAATCCTGCAACTTGGTGACATTCTTTTTACCTTTTTTTAAAAAAGAGATTTTTGCTATGAGGCACATGCACTTGCTGGGGAGAGAGAGAAAAACAGAGAAAGCGAGGAATCGCCTCCTGGGGAGATGGTCACGTCGCAATCCCTTCTCCCCCATTTTCCTCTCAGGATATTGGGCACGCACGTACACGCGCCCACACCGTGGTTGACTATGTGGGAGTCCAGAGATGTAACCATTATGCCATCTGCTGAAGGGGACATTCTGAGGGAGACTTGCTGGCCCCTCGAGCTCCTGGGCCAGAGTGCCCCTTTGCAGTCCCTGCTCAGCCCTGGGGTCCTCTGCTTTGTTATGCACAGGTTACTGACCAGCCGCCCTCCCCGGCCCCTATGGTGGGCTCTGGGGAAGAGGGGGACACCACCTCTTACAGCTCTCCTGGGAACTCAGTCACGACCCACACCTCGCAAAGTCCCGGGGCTGCGGTCTGCAGCCTGGTGTCTGTCACTGGCTATGTGACCTTGGGCAGGTCAGTTTCTACGTCTGTGAGGTGGCCGCATGGCCATTACCATGGATCAGAGGAGACAAGGAAAACTACCTGCCAAGTAGGCCAGGAGGATGCCCAGGACGACCATCAGCTGCACACAGGAGCCGAGCAGCCCGCGGACCGCTGGGTAGGCGATTTCGGAAATATAGACCTGCCGGCAGTGAAGACCAGACTTTACCTGGGGTCAAAGGGTTCTTAAAACTATGAAGCCTTAGCCATCTGGAGCTGAGGAGACCCCAGCTGGGCTGCTGCAGGTGCAGTGGGCCCCCGAGGGCACTGTCCCGGGTCAGCAGAGCCTGCCCAAGTGATCGGTGACGGGTTCCACAGGGGATTAAGAGTTGTAGTAGCTGCTGTGTGTGTGAGAGGCAAGGGGTGATACAGAGCCCCTCAAACTTTCACTTAACGTGCACAAATACCTTTGATAAAATGCAGGCGTGGAGGCAGCAGCCTGGGCGGGGCCCCAGTCCTGCCTCCGTGACCAGCTCCAGGTGATGCCCAGGCTGCTGCCCTCGGACCACTCTGAGTGGGGGCCTTGGGCCAGAAAGCAGGAACTCTCCCCCTCAGCGGCTGCGAGGGCCTCACCTGCCCTTCTAGGTCATCCCATATCTCCTGCCCACAACTAAGATAGCCAGTGAGCTTTTGTCCAGTACGAATACCAAAAGCCTAAAACCCACTTCCCCACCCTCTCCCGGCCAGCTGCTGCCAGCAGTGTGGGTGAACAAGCGGTAGGTGAGTGATGGCCATGAGCTATTGCTTTTGAGCTCCACGAGGGTGAGGTGTGGACAGCTGGCCCAAGCCCACGGCCAGCAGCAGTGCACTGGCTACCCAGCAATCCCAGCGGCCAGGGTCTGAGTCCCTCCAGAGCTATCAGGGCTGGGGACTGGACATGCAGTCTCATGAAGCAATGCCATGATCTCCACTTAGGGAGGGAGCTGAGCCCAGAGAGACTCCGAGCTCAGGGAAGTGGCTGGTGTGTGGGTTCCAGAGGAGCAGTGCTGGGCCAGGAGATGGTGAGAGGGAAGGGCTGAGGGACTGGCCTGTGCAGTGAAGGGGAATGGCAGATGTCCCAGGCTTCGTCCTGGGTACAAATCAGAGCAGGCTTTTCCTGCTAATTGAAGCCAGCGATCAAAGACGGGTGTGTGTGGGGGTGATGGTGGTTAACCACAATGTGACCTCCTCTTGATCAACCCCTGTCCTCCAGGTGCCATCTTATTCGCAGAGCAAGAGAGAGGCCAAGTTAAGTGGGACAAGCCTGGGTTTAGCAGTTGCCTCACTGCCCTGCTTGGGCAAAGGACTGCATGCTTCTGAGGCTGTTTCATCTGTAAACTGGAGATAATAAACTTCTCTGCTGGGCGGCGGCAGTGAGCATCAGGTTGATAAGGCAGGTATGGGAGTGCCTGGCATCTAGGAAGCCCCAGTCACGGAGGGGGAGCGGTTTACCCCACTCATTTCCCTCGGTCAAAGGCAGGGGACACTCACCGGAGCCACTAGTGAGGCCACACCGCAAGCCAGGCCAGTGAGGAGACGGCCTCCGAGCAGCATCCACATGTCTTGGGCCGCAGTGATGATGGTAAAGCCGGCCACGAAGGGCAAGGTGCAGAGCAAGAGGCTCAACTTGCGCCCGGCGCGGTCCACTAGCCAGCCACCCAGCACGCCCCCAGCCGCGGCGCCCAGGGTCACGATGGCCTGCGGAGAGAGCGTCTGCTGGCTGAGGAGCGCCAGGGGCGGCCGTCCATCCTCGCCCTCCAGCCCACCCCGGCGACCTCGGAAGGAAAGCATGGGGATCCCGAGCTGGTGGTCCGGAGAGGGAGACTCCTAGCAGGGGAGCCTGGTTGGTGCGGCGCAGGATGCTGGCGCCCAGGGGGTGGGAGAAGGGTCGTGGCGCCAGTTCCAGGGAGTGGGTATGGAGGTCTCAGGCCGGGGCGCGTGAGCCCAGAGCCTTACCCCAAACCAGGAGGCCGCGTTGTCGTCGAGGCGCAGGGCCGGGAGCGCGGCGCGGCGCAGGCTAGGGATGGCTGGGGAGCTGTAGCCGAGCGCGAATCCGAAGCTGAGCGGACCCAGGGCAGCTGCGAAGGCGGCCAGGAAGACGCGGCGGCCGCGGGGAGCGCTGCAAGGACAGGGCTTTGGGTGAGTGGCACTGGCCAAGGGGAGCAGGAGGGCGAGGCCGCGGCCGGCCC